TCCAGAGTTAGTTTGACTTTCAAATATTTGTTTATACAAACTTTTCAATAATGGATATAAAATAACATATTTTATTAAATTAATTAATTTCAGTTATTCAGAAAAAAATGTATTTAGTGTCTATGTGGAAAGTGAAATGAAGGTATCAACATTTATACAAATTTTCTTGGAAAGAAGACGTTGTGGCTTTTTTGTAATAATGAAGAGAACTTAAGAGTGTTCCCAGAGAGTTCTCTCTGGGAACTCCTATTATCTGCACTTCCATAAAAAGTACCAAATACAACTTGGTGGAAACTGGAAAACCACAGTATATTATTCTTTAACCTAGAATATTTTCATTATTAGGCCAACTAATGTTCTTCACGCAAATTATCTCATTATTGTAATTAAAATTACTACAATTCATAAAATTACTACAATTTTCTATGAAGAAAAAATAACATACACAAGAATGGTCTCTGAGAAGCAAAATTACAAGAAAACACCTACCATTCAAAATTAACATCTTAGAGTAATTTCCTTTTAAAGTTAGTTTTCAATTTATCTTCAGAATGTTAAAATGGCACCTGAGAAGTATACCAATTAATATTTCTCATTTCTCTGTTCCTTGTCAATTTCTTTTTCCTCAGTAGGCTTTCACAAATGAAAATCATCCATCTTACTAGAAGAAAGACCCAGTTATCAAGAACAAAGGCAATTTAACCAGAGATTACAAGGTCCATGTAGGAAAATAAAGTTTTCATCAGCTCAACTCTTTGCGTTTAATTTTTCATTTATAACGGTGACTTTGAATTTAACTAAATCCCTCTCTCTAGCAACATAATGAATCCTAAGCCACATCTTCAAAAAACGAGGAGTGTGCCTTAGTCATTGCTTTGCCCCCTCTAGTCCTGCCTCTGGTCCTGCCTCAAATCTATGCCACAATCCCCCTGCGCTAAAAGCATCCTAGTCATCTAAATAATCAGCAGCAGGCTAAATTTGGTCTTGGGATTTGAGAAGAACCAGGCCTCAGAATGCTTCTCATCCCTGCATTCATCTGAGACCCCCCAGTTATAATTAGCTCAGCTAATCTTCCTTGGCTAGCTGCCATCTACCAAACAGGAATCACCAAAAAAGTCATAAAAAGAGAATTCCAACAAATGAGAAAGTTGACAGGCCTTAAATATTTTATAAGTGACACAGAAGTACTCAAATGGCTTCCCCTGAAATATAAGAAAGCACCTCAATTTAAGAACATTAAGGGACATTTTTATATAATTTAGATAGATAATGCCCTATTAAAAACCGTTCAAAAAAAGTTCCTCTAATATTACAGTATAAGCACATAACATGGCCTTAGCTGGCTAGATGACAATAGTCTCTGCACCATGTATAAGTTTCAAATCATGTAGGGAAACTACCCCATTGCTCTCAGAACTTTTAAAAAGCAAAATCCCAAATGGCATCCATTGACAACCTGGCAAAAAGTCACACCTGCTGATTACCCCTAGCACCTCCAACTGGGACAAGGAGGTATCCCCTCTTAGCTGCTATTCACATTTATTTAGAATAATTGGGGGTGCAACAACCCCTGTGATGGAGAAAACTAGCAAACGGAGAAGTAATTTCACTGGCAGGCAGAAGGTGACCTGAGAGCAGAATACACACAGCTAGGGGATTGCGCCCTAGATCCAGTAAACAAGAGTCTTCCTATGAGAAGGAATCTTAAGCGCCTGAGGAACATAGACTTGGGAGATGCCCAAAGAAAGCTGAACCTTCTTTTGGCCAAGGATATATACTGAGGACTCTCCTATCGACGTTACATATTTTTATTAATTGAACATTTCTACCTAATAACTTATGGTCAAAGTGCTTGAGAACAGAGATGCCCAGCTTTCCTATAAAGCACATTGCCTAGATTGGGGGGAAGAGATGCAAGCAAAGTGCATCCCCCAAGATCCAGGATATTAAAAAACAAGCAACCCCAAGTTCCAGGATGTTAAAAATCATGTGTACATAACACAGGTATAATTCCCAGGTCTTCTAAATTTCAAGTGCCCGCCATACGAGTTCCAGGAGAAATCCCAGTACAGAGCACTGCACACTGTAAGCACTCAAAAATGTTGTTGACTGGGCTGAAACAAAAACTAGCACCTGGGGCCAGCCCAGTGGCATAGTGGTTAAGTTCCGACTGCTCCACTTCAGTGGCCCCGGGGCTCGGGTTCAGATTCCAGGTGCAGACCCACGCCACTTGTCAGCCATGCTGCTGCTGTGACCCACATACAAAACAGAGGAAGACTGGCACAGATGTTAGCTCAGGGCTAACCTTCCTCAAGCAAAAAAAAAAAAAAAAAGGAGGAAAGTTGGCAAGATGTTAGCTCAGGGTGAATCTTCCTTAGCAAAAAAAAAGAAACAAACTGGCACCAACTATGTATTCACATCACCGTTCAAGCTCCCCCCCACCCCCACACTTTTTTTAACACATCAATTCCCAAATACTGGAGGCCTGAATACCAAACTTAGAACAGAGAATAAAGAACGGTCATACCTGCCCCGTTTCTGTTTATTTCTGTTGCTGACATGTGGTTATACTTATGGTGGCAATGCTGTGTGAAAGGCCACCATCATTTTAAGAAAGAAAAGTAAAAATTACTGGCCATCTAATATGTGACTAGTATTCACATAATTCATCTCATTTCAGCTTCTCAATAACCCTGTGGCATAAGTATTAATACCCAATGTTTATATAAGCAGAAACTGAAGTTCAGAATAGTTGCGTGTCTACGATCACCTTTTAGTAACAGGATTCAAACCTAAGTCCATACCTTTTTATCTTTCTCAACTGACGTAATCTAAGAGGGGTTATAAAAAAAAAAAACAAACAGCCAAAATGTAGGCTAACCTACTAAAAAGTAACACCGAAAGTTGTGAGTTTCTCACTTGTCATTCACGACAAATTCTTTTAGAGCATCCACCACTTCAAGACACTGTAAATCCCCCAGGGATATAATAATCTTTGCCCACAGGGAACTGACAGTCTAGTTAGAGAAACAAGCCATTTACATAAGTTTTTAATGTAAGAGGCAACAAAAGGTATTGGAAAGGAGAAAGGTTTTAGACATATTTGTATAAGAATTTCAGTGCTTACTAGCTGTGAACTTTGGACAAGATACTTTAAAATTTTTCAGCTATAAGGTCATGATAAAAATCTGCTACCTCTCAAGGCTCTTGTGAAGCTTAAAGAAGTTTGTACAAAATTTAAACAATAATAATCAGGAGCACAATCACGTTAAATTTGGGGAGAGAGAGGTGTCATTTTTGTGCCAAACTGCCAATTTAAAAGGAAAACTACCATTTAAAGCAAAAGTGGATGGCAACTAAATGCTATATTGGATTGAATCACGGAACAGTCGCCTGAATAAGTCTGTAGTTTAGTTAATAGTAATGTATCTACGATAATTTTTTAGTTTTGACAAAGGTGCAACTTTTCTATAAATCCAAAAGTATTCCAAGGTAAAAAGCTTATTTTTTTAAAAAGCAGATGACAAGGGAATGACAACATTCACAGCAACTCTTAGGCATTGCCACTTGATTTAGGATCTCCCTAAGACAGTTACCCATTAACAGAAAAGGCTGTGAAGTCAGTCGAAGCACACCACCTCCGCAAGCTATTCTAAAGCATAACTACAAGGAACACCTGGAGTTTAACTAACATTCTTAACTTTTAAAGAGAAGTGACTTGTCCACTTTTCCCTAGCGTATTCTTGCAAAATACTGGCTTTCTGGTCATTAAATTTTGTTGTTGCTGTACACAACCAGCAAATTTCTACCCGTTACCTCTGCCTTTCTATTCTTGACTAAGACATTTATTCAATCAGAACATAAGAAGCATCTCTCACCACATATAAGGTATAACATTGATTTGAAAGTCTAATGACAAGTGACATTTCTGAGCTTAGTGCTAAAGATAGGTATAAGTGTCCCATCTGTTTCCATAACAAGACAAGCAGTCAAATTCTCTTACTTCAATCTATTATACAAAACTCAAAGAAGAGTTAATAAAGTGATGTAAAACTTACTGGGGCATTTTTATTCCAAGGGTCAAATGATGGCCATTACTGACACAATTTTTTTTTAAGGTACGTCTACATCTATTGAGAGTCACATTAAGTGGTTGTGAACTTTACTAGCTGTGTGTTCAGCGAGATGGCTGAAGCTTTCACACTCTGGGGTCTGCAAGAAAAGGGTTTACTTGCATACCAGACGGCAAACCCTATGCTAGAAATTGGTGACAGAGGCTTAAGGTAGCAACAATTCAATGTGTACAACGTACACACACATACATGCAATGTTACTGCTTAACTCAGTGGAGAGGCATTCCTTAGCTCTTTTTCAATACACATGTAGAATTTAGAGAGCAATTTTCAAATTTCAAAGAAACCTTAATAATCTTTCCAGATTTCAAAGAAAGAAAAAAATAAAACACAGCAATGCAGCAAAGTCATTTCTCCTGCCGAAATGACCTCCAGCTTCTACGAGCTACTCCCGGTTTCGCAATAAATGAATCTGAGACTCAAACCACGTACACACAGACAGCGTAGAAGCTGAGAACACTAAAGCTTCCCCAACAGTCCTGGCTAAACCCACCCGCCTTCCCTCAGCCCTGCCAGTTCCCCTTCCCGTCTGCGCACGCACAGTTACCTTGACTTCGACCAGTAAGAGAACAAGAATTAACTAGCAGCCAAAACCCTGTTTATCTTCATTTATAGCCACTATCCCGGGGAGCCAGAGTACTACTAACCTGACTGCAGGGAGGCAGAATTAAACCTAGCAGAGCGCAGGGGTATAAATTATACGTAGCTGAAACGCCAATCCAGCAGCTCAAATGTCAATTTAACGAAAAGGGTTTCGCAAATAGTATCTCAAATGAACATTTCCACTTCCAAACCACCCACCGACCTCCCGACTGCCAGTACCCAAATTCGGCTGAAACAACCCAGGAGATAAGAAGCGTGTCTTACCTTGTACAAATCTCGACATTTTAGGGATTTATTAAAATACTCTGGCTTATATATATATTGTAATTTCTCGGAGTCAACCTATAGGGCAGGTCTCTCTTCCTCCCTTGCTTTAACAACCGACGTGTTCTTTCTCTTCTTCCTATGTTTAGCCACTTAAGGGAGTATTTATTCAAAGCAATTAAAACTGCCTCAAAAAAAAAAAAAAAATACACCCAGGAAAACCTCTCCCACTTCCAAAAGACAGAAACTTGGTGTGACTGAGTCTGCTTGGAACTCCTGCCTACACTGCGCTCCTGACACAGATGAGGGCTCGCTGGAGACTCCCGGAAAAGGTAAAATCACACGAACTTAAATTTCATCAATGAAAGAGGCGGATCTACAGCGGCTATTTCACCGCCCCCCTCCCCACGCCCTCCGAGGCTGGACGGCAGCAGGCACTGGCGGGCCGCACCCTGGCTCCCCCTTCCCTCGCTGCCGTCCAGCCTTCGGCCGGTTCCCCGGGAGACACTGGTCAACGCTGGCCCCCGCCCAAGCAGGGGTTGAGGAGGCGGGTGAGGCTGGCAAAGAAGGGCAATGCAACCATTTTTACCAGCCCATAAATATCCTGGACTTGGAGACGCTAAGAATTCCGCGCTTGGGCGGGCCGGGGCCTGCAGCTCCCCGCCTTCCGGCTGCGAGCGGCGGAACACGCTGCCGCCGCTTTTTCTCTGGAGGGGCCGAAGGCTCCATCGCCCCTCCCCCGCTGCGGACGCCGAGGGGCCATCCGCGAGGGGAGAACCCGTGTGCAGACCCGAGTGCCAGGCACAGGAGCCGGGAGAGCCCCGACCCTACCCTCACACATTCTAGTTCCTCCTACCCTGCGCTCTTCCGATCCCCAAATTCGGCCTCCGGGGCCACATCACGGGTCGGGGCTAGGGGCTCTATACATTTCAGAGAGGGAAACACCCACCTAGAGAGTCGTAGGAAGCTCACCCCAGCCCCTCCCCAAAACGCCACCGAGACCCACCTTCTTCCTCTTCCTTTAGCAGCTGGGAAATTGGGGGCGTTTATGGCGCCCCAGGAAGAAGGCTCGCAGGCTGAGAGAATGTCACCTCTGAAGCACCCTTCTCTCCCCCACCTCCCCTCACACATGGACACCTTGAGCCCCTCGTCAACGATCGCAGCCCAGCTGCTGACCCTCTCCGGCCACCCCGCTGCAGCCTCTCCACACCCAGAACCCCCTCCTTCTCCTAAACAGTTCCCCTCCCCCCCATTTGGAGCAGCCCCCTTCAATGCGGAAATGTCCCTGCCGCGCAGATCGACAGGAGCAGCCGCCAGTCAGGAGCGGAGGCGGACGCAGAGCCTGGCCAATGAGACGCGCGGAGGTGTCAGGGGGCGGGGTGTCCGCGGCCCGAGGGAGCCCAGTGGAGATGGGCGCGGAGCCCAATCCTGGGATCCCGCGCGTGGGAGCTGTACAGGCGGCGGAGGGGCGAGGGGTGTTTCACCAGTAAAACTCCCGGCCTTCTCCAGATGCTTCAGCGAGGGAGGGAATCTGAAGCACGAGTAGTTATTTTTGCAGTCCGTAAAAATGTTCCCTTGTACCAGAGACTCAAGATAGGTGTCTGGCGGATAGAGCCAGAGCACAGCACAGCAACTACCCCGAGAGAGCCCAGGCCCTTCTCAGTAGACACAAACTCTACTCACCACATCTGTTCTGGGGAGGATGAAGATACATAAAGGAGTAAGGAGTGGGATGTGTGGTGCCCACTAATCGGAGGAGGGAGTTACGGCGTCAAAGAAAGTACCAAGTGAAGGCTCTCCCACCAGAACCACACCACCCGGGTTCCTATTCCTGTAGAGATTTCTGCTGTGATAGGTGTTTACTTTTCTGATCAAAGTGGAAATGGCTTAAGTTACCCCTCAAGAGATGCTCACCTTTTAATAGATTCTTGAAGACCTCAAGGAAAGAGGATGTTAAAAGATAGAATGTTGGCAGTAGCGTGGGGACTGCGAGAGGGCCAGCCCAGCGCCCAGCAAATCACACCTGTCATTGCCAACCGCACCTACCTGTAAGACTCAGTGCGCTTGTCAATGAGTGTGTCTTAAACTTTACACTTCATGACTCAACCAGCAAATGAACTGTCAGCGTTCTCTTAGGCACCTTCAATAAACCAAGTAATTCTAGAAGAGTTTGAGGCTGTGGACAACACTAATCAATCAAGGTAAAGTGAGAATTTTAAATGACTCGTTCTCTAAACAAATTTTAATTTTTTTAGTGCCATATGTTGTATATGTTATTAGAAATGTTATTAGACAAGTAACACAGAAAAGGCCAGTGATTCATTTGTTATGCTAGAGAATGACAACCTTTGGTACTGTATTTCTTATGTGAAATCCCAAAAGATTACACCCAAAAACCTCTCAGGTATAAAACTAATTTCCCCTAAAGAAAACCAAAGAAGTGTCTAAAAATCCAGATGTCTACATTTTAATAACAGCATTTGGAGACTGAAGATCTTAATCAGAATCTCCATATCCTTTATGTGCGATAGAGAAATTGTTCCAGCGCTAAATAAGCAGTATTTATCAAGAAGCGTTAACACCAAAATAAAATACCATCAAAAGATTTGGGCCCCATAGGGTTGCTTAGCCTGCAAAAGATAAAGTTGAAGAGCAATGAAGAGATTTTAATTATACAAGGTTTAGTGTAAGAAGGATGATCAGTTATTTCTACCTTCACAGAAGATTAAGGGAGAGGAAGTGAGTTTTAATTGCAGCAAGAGCATTTGGTAATACCTAACAATGACATCTTGATTTATGAGTGATTAAATATTGAGATATAGTACCAAAGGATGTTGTACATTTACTGTCTCAAGAAATCTCCAAAAAGTAACTACTTGTCTTCAACGTTAAGGCCATAACCACCCAGAGGTTGGCTCTTAGAGAAGTAGCAGTCTAGAAGCTGTATTACCAAATATTGTTTCCAAATAGTGCCCTGTAAAATGGAATTTCTTTATTCAGTGGCTTAAATTTAAATTCTGAACCCCAAACATTTTGTAGAAGACCCTCCCACTCCCTCAGAGCTACTAGAAACAATCTCACTTGGCAGGTCATGTGGGGTTAGAGGAGAAAGATCATGGCCATTGAGCAATCTCAAGTCTGCTTAGAAGGCAGTTGCCTATTTATCTATACATTTATACATTTTAATACCTGAAAATTTGCTTTCTCTGGGTGTGTATGTGTGTTTAATCCTCTGTTTCATAATACACTGCTATGGAATTTCCCTTCAAGGTGCGTGATGCTGATATCTGTATCTTTAGCAGTCTGTAACATGGATAGATAGATTTACAGATTGAAGCTTTGCAGAAACTTGGGAGGGAATCTAAAGGAGGATGAAGATGGGGGATGGGAAGGAGTGTGTGTGCAGGGATGAGCTGGAATGAGATGGATTGTAAACTAAAAAGCCTGGAAGCCAATTTTTCGCTAGTACCGTATGCTACCATCCAAGGATGACATAAATTCTGCCTATTATTTTCTCATTCCTTCTTCCCACTTCTCCCTAGAAACGTGAGAAAATTCAGTTTACTATACCCAGTCCCATGTCCTGGGATGTATAGCAACTTTGCCGTATCTTTTTTTTTTTTCTTTAGATAGGAACATTCTATCAACAACTAGGAAACAATGGCTGCTGCCCTATTTCTAAACATCCTTTTTGGTGCCTTTTTAGATTTAGTGTCTGGTACATAGCAAGCACTCGATAAGTGTATAATGAATGACCAGTTTAGTGCTACTAAATCTTTTAAACTCGTAGTATTGTATCCTGTTCTCTACTCTTTGAGAGCTGTAAATAAAGTAAAAAAATTTAATTTATATTTAGAGGTAAAGAATTTTTAAGTTTCAGTTATTTCCACCTAGAATGTGAACTTGGGCCGAAGTACTGGAATAATAGCAGCAAATGCAATGTCTTGATGACTTTACAGTAATCTTTGCAAACTACTATGAGCATTATCCAGTAAGGGGTGGCTTAGAAATTGCTAAAGTATGAAGTAAGTGTACAGATGAGCAATGTGTGTGGTCTTTTATTTTTTTCTTGTCTATCCTATCCCCATCCCCTACACACAAGAAAATAAAGTGGTGCAGTTTTGGAGAACATCTCAGAGACGTAATAATTTCTATTTCATGCACAAAGTGTTTAGCCAAGAGACCGGGCAACAATTATACACTAGACTGTTGCCCACACTCAATATTGGCTCCCATCTGTACCCATCTAAATCCTAGACCACCCACATAAAAGAGGAAAAAGGGAGCTGCTGTTATTCAGCCAGAGGTTGCCAGTTACTGACTAGATCTAACAATAGGGCATTTCACTTGAGTCAAAAGGTAACCAAACAGGGTTAACTGGAAAAAGATATCAAATAATATCTGTAAGATGGACTACTAATGAATGAGTAGTCTAAGAAAATGAATGGTGTTTCCAAATTCTTGAGGAAGAGAAAGACTTCACTCTTTCCTGTTGCCAACACCCTGTTGTTAATGAATCAGGAAGTTTGCTGAAACAAGTTATGAATTTAAATTATGACATATCCTTCCATTTGTTCATAGTATGATTTTTAAATTACATTTGAAGGTTATATAACTTTTATATCGTAACAGTAGCAATTATTTCAAATAACTAAGATGCTTTAAAAAACAGGATTGTCTCACATAACAGATAATTATCTACAGAGTTGATAAACCAATCTTCCAAGTAGTTTTAAAAGTTATCAGTTTCACAAGAATGCAGTTTAACCACAGCATGCATTATCTTGTTCACCTTTATCAATAAATCCACTCCAGGGTCTCCTTTGAAAGCTGCATAGAAGGCAGGTCCTTACTATGTTGTCTCCTGTTTCTTCTGTTCTGCATATTGCCCAGAGGAGATCATTGGTGAGAAACGGTGATGCCCATGAAATTGTATCCCACTTGTGTGCCACACTGCATCTCCAGACCCCCCTTAATTATAGAAGCAGAGGAGTCATTTCCTTTAATGAGTAGGCCCAGGAATAACCATAAAGAAACACCCTATATTCTTTCAGTTTTTAGTAAACATAGTTCATTATGTAATCATAATTTGGAAATATAAAAAAACACTAAGCAATAACACATCTCTTACTAAACTCATAAGATAGAATAAACATTAGTCTGCTTTTCTATAGTGATGTTTGTATAGATGATGAGGTTACTTATTCTTATTGACTTTGAAATCCTCATAGAGAAGAGCTGTGAAATAGAAAAGCATTCAGTTTAATCCTATTTTTTTCTTCCTCTTTCAACCATATTAAAGATTCCCTGTTGTGCATTCCATCAATCATCTTTTGATG